TTCTGAGCGGACCGTTATTTTCTGAGCGGACCTCTGAAGTCGAATAGAGCCCATTTTTCAAGTATCTTTATTTACAAATTGATTCTTAACTTTACTATGATGTCAGAAACTTTTAATTTTCACAAATAATACCTGCTGTGCATTTTGTTGATTCTTTTGTTGTTCAACATTTATTTTGAGATTTCAGGTGAACAATGGGCTTCCCAGTCCTCCAGCTGCCTCACGTTGTGCAGAGAAAACTGGTTTCAATGCTTGATACTCGGGATGTGTAAGTTCACTAGTTTTTTTTCTGACGCTGAATTTTCCATTCATCAGAATCGATTTGTCTTTCAAATGTAAAGCGTTCCGTAGAATGATGAAGTTCACAAGGTTGCCATGTAAATCACTCAAATGGTTCTTCAAGGCAGGCAATCCCGGAATCACCATCGGATATGGAGACAGAAAATTGAAGATTCGATTACATATGCGGCATGCTTCTAACGGTGACGATTTTTCTAATTGTGGAAAAGTCGGAAGCAAAACCATTGCACCATCACGATTGCGTTTCATAAGATGTGATACTGATTCAGATCCTGGTACGATCATCAGTATCTTTCCCAAGATCTCCAGACACAACATGTGGCTGAAAAGTAATAAGAAAGTGCATCCGATTGACATGCTGGAAACATACACTAATGTTCTCATAGATATATTTCGTCCGGATGAATTCAGAATCACTTGGAGACTCAAAAACTTAGACGATTTTTTCAAACTGTTCGTTTGGAAAATTACCAAGAAGTTTTCCATCTTCAAATTCCGAACTTATTACAATTCGGATCCTCTCAATATTCCAAACGCTATTACATTTTTGAAGGACCAAATTGAAGCAACTCAGAAAATGGAAATACACATTGAAAAAGACGGGAAAATTCCATCAATCCAACAGATTTTGAAGCAAAAAAGATTGGAAATCATTTGGTCTCCCTGTTTCAACTTGGAAACTCTGCTCAAAATGGAGTGTCACTATTTGGATATAAATAGAAGTGACTTATTTGAAACGGGCAATTTGAAAAAAGTAATCCATGCTTGGATTGCTGGTAGTCTTCCCAAGTTGGAATGCTTAACTGTGAAAGGAAGAAGATGGGAAGAACGGAAAGTTATACAATTGACCAAAGGAATCGAAACATTCGAAGTCACGTGAGTTCTTAGAACATTCATAAAAATTTTCTGCAGCAATCGGGTCATAGGCAAAATTTTGAAAAGCAGAAAGTTTTCGCTATAGAAGAGAAAATTGACTTCGGTTTTTTTTGCTCAGCGGCTAATCAGCTTGGCATCACCACCGCTAAAATAGTATTAGTCTTTGTCCCCTGCCTTAGAAAACATGGAAAACTTGATAATTCTTGTTCGTACCTGGCTTTTTGGGCAAGCACCTTCAGGGTTTTCTTTTCCTATTTTTTCAGTCTTCTCTTGAAAAATCTGCCCCTAGGCAAGCTTTGTCGAGGTTCATATCACGTGTACGTATGAGTATTTCAAAGAGAAACTAACTTTGTTCGAAAAAGTACTTTCCTGGAAATCAGAGTCCGAGCGAGACCTGTACTCAGTCTACAGACGCTGGTAACTGATCCTGGTCAGATATATTTGCTGTGATGACGCCAAATTGATTGACTCTCACAAAAAGAACCAGTTTCAAAAATCTGTTCTATCACGAAAAAAACCCCCGATTTCATAAGGGCTTCAATCAACTACTCGGAATGATTAATTTAGTCAGGATCGTTTTCAGAGACCAGCCCGACCACAAAGTTTTCTACGATCACACTTGGAATGAAAATGCGGTGGAAATAGTTCGAGATTTTGACAAAAGAAGAGCTTCAGTCTTCCTCGATGAAACCAAGTTTGCATTGATTATTTGGTCGGCGAATGGAGTATTGGAGAAGACAAAGCCCGCGGAATGGGAACCGGCGCTATACAGTACCGTGCGAGAAGTGAGAGATTGGGATTCCGGTGACGATACTGACGACGACTGAATAACAAAAATATTCATTCCTGAAGTGCTTCCATGCGTTTTCGAATCTTAAAAGTCGTTTCAGTTTTATTTTCTCGCGCATTTTCTTTCTGTAAAATGGAATGGTTCCGTTTTTTTGTAAAATGCATTCAATCTAATTTGGTTATCAATGTCCTTTCTGAGTCGTTCGTCTATTGTCAAAAAATGTTCAATTCAATGTTCATTTTTTATTCTCCAAACTATCACAACTCTTTTTTCGATTCATCAAATGGTTCCTATTTCCATCATCCAACTCAAGTCTTTGTTTACAATCCTATATTCACTTGTCCCAATCAATGTCTGTAATCAATTTTCTATATTTCTGATGCAATTCAAATCAACTTTCATTTCAATTTCTGTTTTAAAATGTGTTCTCATTGGTAATCTACTCGAATAAAATGTGTGCCGCAACTTTCTTCTTCGATTTTAGGAAAACTAAATAAAATCAAATCAGGTTTTTGATCAGTTTCTGAAAATGAAATTATATACTATTGGTTCCATAAATTTCTGTTTTCCGTTGGAGTCATGAATTGTGTCTATTCCGCCAACCGGCATCTTGCTCTTCGCACCCAGTCAACACCCAAGGCACCGATTTCATCAATCACTCGCTTCATCTTGTCTTCTCATCACTGCGCTGGCCTTCCGTCTGATCTTTCGTATTTAAGAGATAATATTCTGGAAAAAAAATACGACACTGTTTTGAAATCGTGGACCGAGAAAAATAAATTGTGGACCTATGAAGTTAGGTGTGAAAAAAATTGCGGACCGAAAAAATCGTGAACCGATAGAACTTTGTGTTGCGACAGAAATGATGATCCATCATGTGCAGAAGTTTTTATTTATTTGAAGTAAACTTCTTTTGAGGTTTGAGAACGTTTCAAATGCGCACTTGCGCATATGCGTTCATCATTATTCCGTTCTGTATTATTTTTAGATTTATTCCACTTAGTTCGTAAGGTTCATAGGTTCAGATTGGAAAAATATGAATGTAAAAATACGGGCGCAGAGCAACAAATCAGGTGTAAAGATTAAATGTGCCATAAATTCTGGTGGGGACAGGTCTCCTGCAATAAATCCAATGTTCCGTATTCTCATTACACTGTCAGAGGACACGCGCCGAAAAGATTTCATTAGTATTCTCGACATCGACGACGTTCACTAGCTTTCTCTCTGTTCATTTCACTGTCTCGTGCTATCAGAAAGTAATTTTCATTTTATTTTCCTATAATTGAGTGCATAGAATCATGCTTTCTTAGAGAAAGATTTTTTGTATTTTAGCCCATATCTACCCCCACCACACTCTCACCATGCCCGAAACCCCACATCAATATGTCCGTAAAAACATTGGAAAGTTCGTCGAACAAGAAAAGGATCTCGATTTGACCACCGTGTCCGACATGGTGAAATACGGATCCTCAAAAGGACCCAACCCCCAACATTTGGCCTGTCAAATCTGGAGATATCTGATCACTTTTTTCTCTCTCGTCCGTCCGTCTGAAAATTTGGTCGCCGCAATCGGAATCAATTTTTTCTCCATGGAACGTGACCGTGGAGAGATCATTGCGCAACTCGCCGCCGCCACACCCATTCTTCGTCCCGTGATTAATTATTACGAATTTCTAACCAAAAACATCAAGATCATTCCTACTGATGATATTGGAACTTGGCTCGGACCTCTTGTTGATTTCTCGAAACCGTCGGAATACCCTTTTTATTTTGATACTGAGGGATTATATTTGGAGAGAAAAAAAACAGTATGAAAAATTTGCACTTACCGAATTTCCTGTATTATTCCAGACGTTACCCCTTCTACTGTTCCTATCCATCAACTCAGCGGTTTTCCTGTGTGTTCTAGAAATGCCCAACGGCAACAATTGAAGAATGAACGCTGTGGTGTCTCTAAAAATCCTCCAACTCGTAAAACGACAAGAAATGCGGAACGTCCCAACCTGGCAAGAAATGCGGGCTCCTTGGAAATCATGTAGCTACTGCTGTTTCTTCTAGAACTGTGGCACAACAGCAAAATCCTCATGCAGCAACTGGTGGTTCTTTTAGAAGTGTGGCACGACAACAAAACGCAGCACGAAGAACAAGCCGTCCATCCTCAACGCAATCTCCACCTACTGCGCCTGTCTCTCAAGATCGCGTGGAGCATCAACATCTCGTGGAGCTTCAGGTTCTCGTGGAGCTTCAGCATCGCGTGAAGCATCAACATCTCCTGGAGCATCAACACCTCGTGGAGCATCAACGCGTGGAAAATCTGCATCACCTGATTTGATGACTAGTACTGGACGCGAACGTGGAACACGTGGCTTTCTAAGTAACATTCCATTTTTAGAAAAATCTAATATTCCAGTCTTCGTTTATGTTAGAAAGGTTTTTAATGCCGATAGAGTTAGTCTATCAGGCTTTTTCCCTTCAAGTACTTTTTTTCCTAATTCAATGCTGCTTCATTTTGAATAAACATGTTTTATCATAGATACCAATCATAAATAATCAATTCGTTTTCAAACGAAAGAAGTTCTTTTAAAAAATAGGTGAAAACAGAACCTCAACTCTGGTCCGCGATTTTTTTCCAGACCTAACTTCATCGGTCCACGATTTTTTTCGGTCCACGATTTTTATGGGAACACAATATTCAATCGGTCCACGACTTTTTTCCAGTCCTAACTTCATCGGTCCACGTTTTTTTCGGTCCACGATTCTTTTTTCGATCCACGATTCTTTTTTGGGTCCACGATTTCAGAACAGTGCCAATAATACTTCCAAACAACCGTCTAAAACTATCAATTTCATAACAGTTTACATAAAACACTGAGTGCCCGGACTCGAAAACAATAAAAAAAACGTATTCTCTTCTCCACCTCTCTTCAAACTTTCGCAAATAGAGACACACCGGGGCGCATCTCTCCGCTATCTTTTTCTCTCTTCCACAAAACACGCTACTCTCCTATCCTACTCCAGCCCGCTATGAGATGTGCCGTCGATAGCTCAGTTGGTAGAGCGGAGGACTGTAGAGTCAGTGGTTATCCTTAGGTCGCTGGTTCGAATCCGGCTCGACGGATTTCTTTTTGTTTTTCTTTGTTTTGCAAGTCAGAGTGTATTGTTTTTCATTATTAAATCTTGCAAGCCTTAACAGAATCACAGCTGCTAATGATTCAGTACAAAATAAAATTGATAGTTCCTGAGCCAAGCCTAACAGATGGTCTTGAAATGTACAATCGAATAGTAATCTGAGCACAATAACTCTTCAAAACAATGTTCTGTTCTAACTCATAAATCAAAAACTTAACTCTATATTTCTTCATTGTGTCACAAACTCCACTGCGACCCGTCGACATAACGTGGTTTGTGGTGAGAAAATTAGACAACTAGAGACCTATATAAACAACGAAGATCGCAATGAAAATACAGTCTTTTTTTCAACAAAATATGCCACTCCTTCTTATTGGCTTTCTAGTTTTCACTGTTATTTATGTGGTAAATTTCTATCTAAAAGTAAGGAAATACCCAAAAGGCCCGTTTCCGCTTCCAATCATTGGTAATATTCATCAGGTAAATGATTTTTTTCAAATACTTCAAAATTTTAAAGTTTGTGTTTAGATTCCGGATGGAAATCTGGAAGTTTACTTTGATGATCTCTCAAAAATCTATGGGCCATGCTTCACTGTATGGTCTCCACTGCCATGTGTTGTTATCACTGATTATGCTCATATCAAAGATGCTTTTGTGACTCAAGGTGGGTTTTTTGAATCCGATAAAAAAATTATCCTCTTATGAAAACAAAATATCATACGAAAATGTTCAGCTGTCAGTTTGATTTGTTTGATCAGATGTGGTGACAACATGCATTATATCTTTTCCGCTTGTGTCTATTCCTCTGCCCGCCTCATTGGCTCAGTGGCAGAGCGTCTGTCTAGTAAACAGAAGGTCGCTGGTTCGATTCCAGCATGAGGCACCTGACTTTTTTCAAAATTTTTTTGTTGAAAAGATTTGCATCGAAATGACTCCTAACTTACAGCTTCAATTTTTTGTTTATATTGAGTAATCCGAGAAATATAATCTATAAAACAGAATGAAATAGATTCCAAGAAACAGAGAAAATTCGGTGCTTGACAAAAGAATCTGAGTGAATAGGCAAATTTCCTACATGCTCACATGTTCGATCCCTATTCGATTTTATAAACGAGATACACATCACCGCATCTCTAGTATAGTGGATTGTATTTTTCTAAATTCCTTTAGAGTGTGCTTGTCAGACCTCCATTCGATCGCTTGTCACCGATCCGAATAGTCTTCGCCACTTCACTCTCGTGTGCATCGTGGAACTACTAACATTCAGATCTTGAACGAGATTAATATAGAGATTTCGTCCCTAAGACTGCGGCGCTGATCAGCCCAGCTACTGAAGTTGATCCAATGATCTATGATACGAACCTTCACGCTCACGATCGATGACTG